CGCAAGTTTGTGTGTGTTTGTGGATTTGTGTGTGTGTGTGTGTGTGTGTGTGTGCGTGCGTGGGTGCGTGTCGTTACACACAAATAGACAGACAGACAGACACGGACAAAAAGAAAGATGAGAAATGATTATAGCTCACACTAAAAACCACAAGTGAAAAAAATGGGAGGGTTGACGTATTTATGGGACTCATTTAGATTTTAAAGTTATACTGACTTTCGGGGGTAAATAAAGACCCTGTAGAAAAAAAAATACAATCTGTCTATCAGTGAAATGAAGAAAAGGAGGCAGGGTACATTTCGTATGTCCATCATCGTCAACATTATAACAACATACACTCATGTCCTTGTGAAGTACGCAACCCTGAACGCCACAAGTCATATCAATTTTGGACTTTACATTTTGTTCCAGGTTACAAATCACCCTGGATATCAAAAAGTTTCCCTCAGGTCACACTAAACAATAAAGCCCAACAGTGGTGCCCCGCAGCAAGGCAGGGCCCTATTTACAAACCCACCAGATCAAAACTCGACCCAAAGTGCTCCGATAATAGCACTGGGGCCTTTTGGTGAGCGCACCATCCAATGCTACTTTTAGTGGGTTTCCAAAGAATAAACAGGCCCGGGAACCACATCACAGACTGCTGACTGTCATCATTGGGTGAGTGTACCCGACGAATGATGTGAGGGCGGAGCGACCGTGACATTGGGGTTTACGGCGAGTACCCCCCCCCCCCTCCACCGGGGTGTGGTGTGTGCCATTGAACTGTCACTGAAGGGACAGGGAGGGGGCCTGACCACGATCAACTCCCGAACGCCGATCACAGTGAACCCGTCAGCGTCTCACTGTGCCTTTCATGACCTACTTGGTTATTGTGAGCAGGAAAGCAGCGAGTGATTTTGGAAGTGTGTTTGGTTGTGCCATGCACACGCACCCAGCCCCCTCGAGAGCAATGCTGGAAGAAGAACTCAGAGCCTTAAGAAAAAGTAACGATACCACAATGTAAAAATACTCTGTTACAAGCAAAAGTTATACATTTGAAATCCTACTAAAGTAAAAGTGTTCTCAGCTAAACTTACAGTACTTAGACTTAAAAACTTTGACAGTGGTGATCAGTGCTTGGACTGCGGCTTGTATCATTGATCATTATTACATTCTGAACTATGGGTGTAAAAGATACTGGGAGATGTTTGGTTTGGGGGTTCTTCGAGAAACTCAGAAGGTCTTCGACTTAAAACTATGCAATGTTACATTGCATTACTAGTTAAATGATTATTTTATTATTTATGCATATCGCAGCTTTTGTCTGAACAATTAATTAAACCCGCATTCTGTATTTCTTAACAATATATTGGTCCATTCATTATTTTTCACAAATTAAAAAAGACAATATGACAAAGAGCTCACTCTTTATTTTACAGAAAGGACGTGCCGTGAGTTAAGATGCTCTCTCCATTGTGTTCATGTTTGTACTGCCTGTGATGCGCGGCAAAAGCGATGGCGCTGCGTCGTATAGTGGCAGGGAAAGCCCAGTCATGAATCTGTAATGTCAGTCACACAGGAACGTAGCTAACATTAGCCACCATATGCTACTGGTCATACCAGACCAAGCAGTAAAACCCCTGAATTAAGAAAGTGCGCACTTTATTAATAATGAGTTCAACTTTTCATTTGTAAGACAACTACTGTGTTATTTATTCCTAAATAGAAAAATGGAAATAGAGTTAATTGTACTTTCCGCCACTGCTCTAGAGGATCTCTCTAGAGAACATCAAAACGGCACCGCTACCAAACCCATCCCATAATGTATTCAATATGAAATGAAGTGTCGGATAGACAAACACATGCCTGGTATGTTTGAAAATGAATGCAAGTCCATTTACATTCAGCAGACAGATATAAAAATGCAGTTGGAGTCGTCCCCCAGCAGCCATTATGCAGCTCAATTGATTCAGAGGGCTTTTATAAGCCCTCGGCTCCACTCGGCACCTTTTATAAAAATGTAAGCAGAATATTAAAGATGCATGAGATGAATGTGCTCATTGTCTCCTCTGGTTACTGCTGCATCTCAACTGATCGCGCTTACAAAGCAATTAGCTGCTGGGTTTTTGGGAACGTCGCCATCCTCTTCATCACGTTCAGGATAATATACACTCTAAACTTCTTCAAGGATCTGGAATAAAGTCCTGACACTCTCATGAGTTACTGGATATATAAAGCACTACAATAGGCTAATTATAAAAGAAAACTGTAAAAAACAAAAGAAGAAATAAAAGTGTTTTAAGGTCATTAAGAGCTCAAACAAAGTTTGAATACACAAGTGCATTCCAGTGATCAATAAAACTAACACGGGCAGCCCTGGTGGAGAAAAGAAATAACATACAAATTCAGATGATCAAACTTGTTCAATGTGTTTCTTATTTTCTTGTCTGAACATCAAAATGGACAAAAATGACCACCAATTGTGATGTGCTGACACATTATGTAATCAAAATTTGAGAGGGAATCAGCCATCAGAGCAGCAAGAGCCCAAAAACCCAAACAGTCTGTACCCACTGACTGTTGTTTAAAAGTTTCTCCATAGACTTGTGTATATAAACACTCCAACGCTAGAATATGATTTGGCTTTGAGGGGACTGGCACAAATGGCTTTGGTGCCTTACATCATGCTTGGAAGTCTAATCACAGACACTCTTGTCATATCAAGCAGAAAAAGTCCATTTCATAGCGAGCTACGTCTCAAAAAAAAAAAAAAAAAAAAAAAAAAAAAAAAGGAGGGAAAGGTAAACAAGCCCTGCGTTCCACAGCCACCGCAGAATTCATCATTCATACAAAAAAATACCCCAAGCCCCAAAGCAGAGCTAATTTAATCCGAGTGGAATAAAACTCCATTTCATAGAAGTCGTCCATTCACAACACTCATATTTCCACTGAGCAGAAACCCCCGGCTGAAATTCGAGCAGACACTTTTCGGAAGGAATGCATTCGGTGGGTTGAGGGCCAAAGCTTGCCCTGTAATTTGTGAATGTACAGAAATGTGTGACCGCCACAGCTCCTCTAAAGATAGAAATCTTTGTCTTATGTCATCGCCGAACCTCAAACTATTTCTAATTGCCCCCATAGCCCCCTTTTCCAAATGAATAGCTACCCATCCAAAGGCTTATGTGTGCACGACTGAAAATAGCCCGGGAGTTTACGCAGGCTAATAGATCATATTCAGTAAAAAAATAATAAAAAAAGATGAAAAACTCTAAAGGGATCCCACGTATTAGAGACTGTCCCCATCTTCAAAATGACTTTTAAGTGGCACTGAAAGCCGTGTGGGTGGCATTTAGAGGCAGGTATACGTTTACACACCCCAAAGGCTTGCACTGGTTTCTCTGCTAATGGGGATCACACTCGTGTCTACAATGTGACTCATTACATATAAAACCTAAAGTAAATGGTGTTCCCTTTGTTTTTTTACGCACACAGAGGAGGAAGTGCTTCTTTGTAAGGACTCCAAGGAAGCATCAGCTAAGCTTCATTTTTCAACCTTTTGTTCAGGTCCCATTTAGAACCATTTGACTGTGGTGGTGCTGCTTTGTTGTGTTTTTATAGCCAACAAACCATTTTCTTAAGGGAACCCTTTTTGGTTATGAGCGTACATTATGATCAGGCCAGGAACACCAGGATGAAGGAGACCTCTCTCTCTCTCTCTCTCTCTCACAAGTTTCCACTTAACAATGATGTGATATCTTGATTTCTATCCGTAGGATCTATTTTCTTTTTAACCTTCAATGGTAAGAATCCTATATGCTGAGGCCCATTTGAGGTGGGTCCGGGGGTTTCACATGTCCTCCACGAGTTCTGTCTTGATTTCAGGCTCAACCCATGTGGATCATTAAAAATCATTCAGGGGCACGGCGGGCTCCGTCCTCAATGCCTTGTGCGGCTGAAACCGTAGAAACTGCATGTTGAAATGTGGAGGTCTAAATGTGACAGGCGCCCGGAGCACACATTACGGCTGAGGAGGGTACAGCCGGGGCGTGCGGTCACATATTAATAATGAACTCGGGCAGGAGGACGACTAAAATATCAACGGTATCGTCATTGTCTCAGTGGAGCTGCACTCAAAATAGAGGCCGCATGATAGGTGATCTGATCAGAGGTGATTATTATTTTTTATTTTTTTTGGAGTTAGGATTGTGGGGGTGCAGCTGGCGCTGTTATATGGAAGGATTCGAGTTCAACTGTGGAATGAGCTGGTGTGATTTGGGGTTCCCTGACATTTTCAAGTCAAAAACACCAAAACCTAAAGTCATTAGGCAATGGGGTCATGAGGTCTTACCCTGGGACCCTTTCAAAGTAAGAGTCCTGTTGTTGTCCACGCTGACTTCATAGGACGATGGTAAAGATAATGGCTTTATCATCAGAATTTTGGGTATAATTTCAAGTGAGTAAAATATTGAGATTTATTTTGTTATTTAAATGTGTCACCACACGCCACTGAACCACTGTCCTACATCAACCAAAATAACAAGCAACTGCAAACAAGGAGTGTTATACATGTGACCCAAAAAGAGGCACTCTCATTTTTTTTAATTTTTTGTTTACTGAAGATGAAACAAAAAATGTTTTATTAGGAAAATATCTGCACAATTGGTATACTGTGTATAATTTCTATTTTTTAAGAATCTGTTTTCAAGTGTAAGTGCTTGCAGCACTGACATATGCCCCACCACTGACAATGGGAGGTTTGTGGCCAGGTTTGAGCCCACATAAACAGCTAATTATGAAAATAATCTTTGATATCACAGCTTTTTGGGGTATTTCTGTAATAGGAACTGTCTCTTTTTGAACTTTTGAAATCTTGTCTCTGCATCTCTGAACTCTAATTTAGTATGATGTGGGGAAATTAAGGTAAAATGTGAAGCCACTCCGATGACTCCTCGCGCCACTTAACTGCACTTAATTTATTATCATGCAAGTAAACAACTTAAAAACCACGGCATGCGCACAGGAGAATAAATTGTTATTATTAAACATCAAACATCGATTGATAGGAAGCATTTTAATATACGCTTTAAGGACAAATCCATGACATGTTCAACATTTCAATTAATATCAATTTCCTGTTCGTGGAGATCAATTTAAATCGTTAGTATTTTATCGTGTCTTTGAACCATTTTAATTGCTTTATTGAAGAATTTAAAAATTAATTTCTGCAGCAGTCAGGTCGCAAAATCGTTCAGAATAATGTTTATTATCCTAATCAATAATTAACTCCGTCAGTGCTCACTAGAGCCGACATGGATGACTTTTAGTGTTTTAAACCTTGTTTGATAATCTGCAAAAGACACAATGAACCAATGAATCCTCTAAATTTAGAAACTAACATGTTGACTCCAGTCCATCATGTGGCTTCAGCGCGCGGTTATTTAACGAATAAATGTCAGTGTTTTTTTATAATAATTCATTTTCGCAACAATATCACAGATTATAGTCATTCAGGCAAAAGAAATAAACTCAAATGCAGATCCGGGGAAAAAAAATACCACCGCTGCTTCTTAGAACGACGTAAACGCCTCACAAATTAAATTAATTTAACTGACTAGACTTCCATTAATTCAGGTGTCCGACTATCTCAGAGCGCAGATAAAAGTTCCCTTCTTCTCTGCACATGTGAGACGCCTGCCTCACACTGTGAGCGGACAGCCATTGAAAAGGCAAATGCGCCAACTAGTGTCCGAAAGCAGCATGGCGGAGGATCTGCAGGGTGTGCCGTCATTTTGATGTGACGCTTATATCATTTCAGGTTTCTAATGAATTCAGCCTCTGGCACGCACGCACACGCGTACACACACACACACACACACACACACACACACGGTTGTGTCTTTTGATGTGGAGGAAACCTATTTGCCTGTTTGCTTTAATTCTCTTATTAATTCAGCTCAGCCAATTAAAGTGATAGGGATCTGCCTTCTACCTATAATTTCACTTGATGAAAGTGCTATTTACCTAGAGAGGAGGTGCGAAGCCGCCAGATATAATAGCTTTTTTACAAAAAGGAATAAATGAGAGTAAAACCACAGGCCTCTGCAGTCTAAAGCCTTCCTTAGATAAATGATAAACAGCTCAAGAAAAAAAAAAAATGGATCAGAGATGGCGCTGTGACACACCAATGTGATAAAGGTGCACTTTATACATTATTTTATCAATTAAACTGCATGTGAGGCTGACAATTCCTAACAACACTTGCTTTGCACTAAACTACAATACATTATTTTACGATTTAATCCATCACGTTGAATATCTTACACATTTATAATTAATGTATGTAATACCAACGGTGCTTATGTTATTAACTATAATTAAAAATGTCCAAATAATACATTTTTCGCCCAGCTCTGTAAAAAAAACATCTCCCTTATTTTAACTCACTGTCTCCTAATTTCTGTCTGCATCGCGTTAACGTCGGTCTAAAAAAAAAAAAAAAAAAAAAACACGAGCAGAGAGAAAAGCACAGATATGTATCAATAATTCAGCTGGTGTGTGCGTGTGCGTGCGTGTGCGTGTGTGACAACAGCACAGGGTTTGAGGAAGGAGCACCGGGGAGTTTGATTGGCCTGGTGAAAGCCCAACCCAGCAGATTCATTGGTGGAAATCCTCTCCACACTCCCAACCACTAAACACTAAAATGACTCGGGTAAAATAATATCGCGGCACTCTGCACTCCGTCCAGCCTCGCGGCTCCTGCTCGCGCCCCGAAAACCCCTGCGCTAAAGGATAACTTTTAAAGGGAAATTCAGCTGGAAGCGACGGAACATCTCCCTCTTGTAACAGAGTGACGTTGGCTGTTTTTGTTGTTGAGGGAAGCGATCCAACGAGGATAAAGTTGCAAGAACTTTTACACGCAAGAAAAAGGACACTGATGTACTGCAAGTAGTTGGGCTGTAGATATTCGGGCTTGAAACATTTAGTTTTTTTCCAGAGGAGTCTGGTGAGATCTGAAGAGGCGTCTGGCAAAGTTTGGCTGTTCGGTCGACTCATTATCATACTTTTAAAAACGTTAAACCGAGAAAGCCAGTCAACTGGATTGTCGAACTTTCTGCATCGCGGCTGGATTACCCGATTACCGTTGACAGATTGCCACTGATCGGCAATAATATATTTAGAACTTTCATTGGCTCGTTGTAGATTTCAAAGTAAGAGCTCAAGCAGTTGGCAGTGTTGATATACTGTGTACACGCGGCTGAAACTGTCCATCAAGTGTGCCACGGATAACAGCGATATCATCATATTTTTTTGTTGAAGTTAGTATAAAACAGAGCAACTCTGATGTTCCTCGGGCTGTCACATCCTGTGCAGATGATCGAGCACTCAGTCATCAGAGTTGAATAGTTTCTGTTAAGGTCGCGAGGCTCTCTTCACTCAGACTCGGTGCGCTCTCGCCTCCATCCTTTGCGCTCACACAGTGGACCCCTGAGACCACCAGCGTCCGGAGGAAAACAAAAACAAAAACTGGTTTTCTCCCAAAAAAGAGTCCTGCTCTTCCGATACAACCCGGTCAGGTGGCACTGACCCAAACTGTTGTGATGCATATTCCCGTAGAGCCGCCCACCACCAGACGGTTCACGCCGCCCTCCACGTCCTTCCCCTGTAAACTTGGAGACGGCAACGGGGCCATGGCCACCCCGGGGCCCCTCAGGTCGAGATCTGACTCCAGGAACGTGGTGGACGTCCTGGCGGACCACGCGGGCGAGCTGGTCAGGACCGACAGCCCCAACTTCCTCTGCTCCGTCCTCCCGTCTCACTGGAGGTGCAACAAGACGCTCCCCGTGGCGTTCAAGGCAAGACACATGGCTTCTAATTTAACTTAGTTATATTTTTATTCTGATGACGCACACTGGGGGTTTCTTACTGTGGAGAGTGCATGAAAAAAAACTTTGAAAAAGGATCAAGGCCAACCAGAAACATTTTATTGAGGAAACTATTTTTATATTAATAGTGGGCTCTGGAAGTTGTGCTGTAGGTTTCTGTTTGGGTTTGTATTTGTGTAGAATATTAGATTATTAATAGATTAACTAGTGGCTTCAAACGGCTCCATACAGAGTAATAACATCCTTAATCTGACTAGAAATTATTAAAGATGAGATGTCTGGAATTATAAGATGACTGAGCAAATATATCAGAACTCCATTTCTGTATTATTATATATTTCTGTATTATTGCCTATATGAGTTTGGTGCTTTATAGTTGTGCCTCGTGTTAATATTAGACCTTGAATTATCTAAATTATGTATTTGGATCAGATCCAATGAGAACACGAGAAAATAAATAACAATGAAGCACATGTTATACACATTTTCCAATATAATTGTTAAATGTAATTTATCTGCATTAGAGAGTCTACCAAATGAAATCCTATATTATTTGTGTAATGCTGTATTGCTGGCATACTTGTGAAATTGTGAGGAATTTCCTGCTTAATATTATGGGACTCGGATGCGGTTTTACGCGCGCATGTGTGCGCGTGTGTTTGGTTTGGTGACCTAGAGTGACCGCCCCGCTGTCTCCTGTGCAGGTCGTGGCTCTGGGTGATGTCCCCGACGGGACTCTGGTCACCGTGATGGCCGGGAACGACGAGAACTACTCGGCCGAGCTGAGGAACGCCTCCGCCGTGATGAAGAACCAGGTGGCCCGCTTTAACGACCTGCGCTTTGTGGGCAGGAGCGGACGAGGTGAGCTGAAACGCTCGCGCGCGCACCCCCCCCCCAAACACACACGCACACACGCACGCACGCACGCACGCACACACACACACACACACACACACACACACACACACACACACACACAGAGTGAAAGAACGGCTACAACTGATTGCAATGCCATTTGCAGCAACATTTGGAAACGCGATTATAATAATGTAACGGATCATATGTCTGGGTCTAAGTGGAGAACGACTGACAACTGACAGCGGGTTATTATTTCTAAATAAATGTGAAAAAATATGAAACGTCTGTGACACCGGATATGTAGCACATAAGAAACGCTTATACTCATTTAAATATGGCGGTTAAAGTATCTGTCAGATCTCTGTTGTCCATTATGAAGATTTTTTTTAAAGTGCAGATCTGGAATCATTTAGCTTCCAGTACGGGGAGTGCCCTCACTTTGCCAACTGACGTCCATGGGTGTCATCCGAAACATCTGGCCTGCGTAACGGTGAACAGTTGCGATGTGACTGTAATTTTCCTAATCCAGGGGAATATAAATGATTATCCACGTGGTGTAAATCTGAGGGATAGATTTATAAAATAAATTTAAATTAAATAAATAAATAAAAAACTCGCAATTCAGCTCCTGCGATGTGTCGAATAATCCCCACCACCCAAAATCCTATAAAACGCAATATTTATCTTGGCTATTGTGTGCTGTATTTAAAAATGAATCACACATCAACAGGCCTGCTTTAAGGATGGAATGTTGTGGTCAATGCATAGGCCCGTTGAGCAACAGTTTTGTGTGATATTGACGATATCAAAACCTCAACTAATAGACATAAACAACAAAATGTCCTGAAAAAAAAAATAAAATAAATAAATAATATATAATAAAATTATATTTTTTTTTTTTTTTTTTAAAGTCTGGAATTGGGAGCTTCTTCTGACCGTTTGTAATTCATTTTAATATTATTAAAATAGTTGTGATTTGATGGATAGGAAAGGGATCTCCAAATAAATAAAAAAAGAAGCCTTTTCATTTCTGTAGACAAGAACCCCACTCGAAGATTCTTCTTTCCTCCCACGCATTCTCTTTTTTAACAAGAGCTGCCTCTCAGTCCGGGAGAAGAGCACCGGACCCGCTGCATGAAACGGCCTTCCTCCCCTCTGCACGGAATCTGATGCAGATGCGAGCGAGATATCCGGCTCCTTGTCGAACAATAAACTATACGATGTAAACCATTTCGGACGATCTGGAACGCATTGTCTCAATAATCGAAATCATACCCGGCCATCAAAAGAGGTTTCTCCTCTCCCCCTCCTTTAATTCAAAGGCTGCAGCGGGACAAAAGCCGGTGATGATTTTGAGGTTGAACAAGCGAGGTATTGTTGCGAACAAGAGACAAACAAATAGTTTGCAGATAATGAGAAAGGGCCGTTTATAACGTGACATGATGCGTCCTGCATAAAACCTCATGGACATGTTTGCTGTGCTACAGGAAAGAGCTTCACTCTGACCATCACCGTGATCACCGGACCGCCACAAGTGGCCACTTACCACCGCGCCATCAAAGTCACCGTGGATGGACCCCGAGAACCACGCAGTGAGTACACACACACACACACACGCACACACGCACACCAACGCTACTATTGTTCTTGCTAAAAACGCATTGTGGTGTGATGAGAATGTTGCAGAGCCACCTAGTTAGAAGCAGCTATTCTTAGTTCTGAAAGTGTGTGTGTGTGTGTGTGTGTGTGTGTGTGTGTGTGTGTGTGCTTGGGGGTTTACATGCTAAAATAACTGCATGAGTCATATGCAGATGATGCATGCAAATCTAACACTGTGACCAGGTCTGACTGTGTTTGTGTGTGCTTTGCAATTATCACACCAAGGAGGTAAAGAAAGCTGTTCACAAGATCACATGTGCCAAAATTGAGTTTCCACTAGATATATTTTGGGGTTAAGACTTGGGTTTTGGGGTTAAGATTAGAAATAAGACTAGGGTTAGGCATGTAGCGGTTATGGTTAGGCCTCCAGAGAATGAATATAGGGCAGTGCATTGTCCTCGCAAGTATAGTAGCGCAGGTTTGTGTGTGTGTGTATGTGTGTGTGTGTGTGTGTGTGTGCGTGCAGCAGGGGCACAGTGACGGGCCCAGTCAGAGGAAACTGTAAAGCATATTAAGGCATAACCCAAGACCACTAAGAGGAGCTGAGTGAGTCTCCAAGCCGCAGGTGGCTCAGCTCAGTCGACCCCCTCCTCTCCTCCCCCTCCCTCCCTCCTCCTCCTCCTCACCCCTACCTTCCCCAGTGCTGGTCAGAGGGGGTCGAGCTACCTGACCGACCACATAAGTGGCTCGTTGATTTCACACAGGGCAAGACTCCGTCCACTGTTAGGCCTGGCAGGGAGGCCCCCGGAGTGCTAAAGCTGTTAGCGCCACCGCTCAGCCGCAGCTCCATTCTCATGTGGTTTAATGCGGCTGGTGTGAGGGGATGGCGGAGAGTGCTGTTACGCATGAGGCAGGGGCCGTGTGCATGCTCAAGGCCGGATAGACGAGATGGGTAGGGTTTCATGATCTACCTATGGAGGGACGGGGGTCTGTAATGGTTCTAGGGTGCAGGGGTTTTAGAGGTCTCTGAACGGGCGGATAGCTGGGGCTTGTGCTCGCGTTTGCCGAGGGGGGATATTCGGGACAGGGTGGATTTAGCCCAGTCAAAACAGACCACAGCAGGGGAAGAGAGAGTGGTAGCAAGTGCCACATGAGAAGGGGGAGGGAGTATGGCTGGCAGAGAGGGAGACAAGGGGCACAGAAAGAGGGGCATCAACCCCCCCCCAACCACCCCCGCGCCAGGCTGGACGCTATTTGCAGAAGCATTGAAGAGAACAGCGACTGCAAAGGAAGGGGATAATTATAAACACTACGTGTGTGTGTGTGTGTGAGCGTGGATGGTTTCAATTTGTCTTTTGTTAAAAGAAAAAAGAAAAAGAAAGCTTACCGTGTGTGTCTGTGCATAAATGCATTCTCATGTGCATCTGCGAGTGCCTCAGCTTGAAATAACTGTGTACATCAAGGTTGTCTCCTGTCTGTCTGTCAACATGCTGCAGCTCTGGCTGAGGCGTCAGAGTGGCCGTGCTACTTTTACACTGGCGCTGGGTGCTATAAAGTGACACTGTTTAATATAGGGCAGGAGGAATTTAGGCCTCCAATAAACTCTGTTACACGGTGCTGAGAGGGAATTTGTAGAATGACAGGAAAGAAACTTCTGCAAAGGCTGATTTACATGTTTTTTTTTAATAGCATCAGAATATGATTTCCATATGTAGTAGAAGCTCCTTCAGCTTAACCCCCCGGAACCTAGAGTGTGTTTGATTTGTGTAAATGTCAAGACAGCTGAAAAGCTTATGTGAAATATGAATAATACATCCAGTTACTCTTCAGTAAAAAAAACAAAAAAAAAACAGATCCCGCCTCAACCAAGAAGTTAAAACAGCTGATCACAGTTAATAGAATAAGCATATTTATATAACTCATTAAATTTGTTTTTTAACGGGCTGTCAGTTCCGAGGCGGAGAGGAGCTTTCAGTCCAATTCAGTGTATCAAAGGACTCGCGTAGCCTCAAAATAGAAATCACTTGAGAGATGAGATAAAGGACCTCTCCTATTTAAACAAGAAGCACACAAGAGTCTAATATCAGTCATGCTACGGCACAGTCGAAATGCAGGAACACACACTACCATTCAGACGTTATTAGAGCCATAAAAATAATCAGATTCTTCACTAACCACAAAGCACCACGTTATTTCGGCTGTATGTCTTTTAGAGCCAAAGCAGAGAGCCACTTCTGCCAAACACATAAAACTAATAGCATTTTTTCATTACAAATTTCATCCTCGGAGACGGCTATGTACTCCAACGCTGCTTTGATCGCCACCAATGCCACACAGTGTTGCCTGTGCAGCTCAGCTTTATCACTGGTAGAGTGCAGACAGCCTAAAGGCCAGACTTGGCCCACGCTGGGCTCACCTGTCCGCAGGCTGGCGGGCCGCGGGGGCCCGGGCCGTAGAGGCTGTTTGTGTAGGGCCTCGCATTTGCATGGCTGCCAGCCGAGCAGCGGCAGGAGTTGGCACAGAGGGAGGAGGTTTTATTAATGTTTACGGATCCAGTCAGGAGAACCTGACGGACAGGACTGCGGCGGAGGCGGCTTGCCAGCGGCAAAGTAACAAAGGACACCATGCCTTCAGAAAACACTTGAGCCGAATGATAGACTCTCTCACACACACACGGGCACAAATGTGTACACCAATGTATATTCACATGCCCACACACACACACACACACATAAATATATGAACATATGAACATACACAGACAGCATTCTGTTCCTCAACAGAAAGTAGGCTAAATGTTCAGCTAAGTATTTTTGTCTCCCTTGCTGCTTATTTCCTCATCACACATCCGGCATTCGTCACCATACGCCCCCCCTCCCCATGTATCTGTCATACTGTATTATCAAACTTCTGCTGAGGCCAAACTGCAAACAGTTGTTGCAACTGAAAACTCTCCCTCCAGCTCTGACACATACAACGAGAGAGAGAGAGAGAGAGAGAGAGAGAGAGAGAGAGAGAGCGCGCAGAACAAAAGACAGAAAAGGGAAAGCAGATGACTTAAGTGTCAAGACCCTCCCTGTTCATCACACGCTAGGTGCACCGTGCGGTGTTATGCTCACCAATTAATCCCACAACTATATTTTTGGTGTTCGTCTCACTCCCTCGCTTACATATGACATCAGCCGCTACCTATTTACCCAAGGGGGGAGGGAGGGAGGGAGGGAGGGGGCTGTTTGTATTTCCATATCTCTCGACCTGAACTGAATCAGTCCCCAGGAAGAAAAGATGAACTCACCGCAGGTCAGGCTGGGCCAGAGAGATCAAATAAGGGGAGTTGGAAATATTTTGAGCTTGTGATATGATGTTCAGAAATAATTTACACAGTGTGTGTGTGTGTGTGTGTGTGTGAGAGAGTGTGTGTGTGTGTGTGTGTGTGGGGAGGGTGAAAAAAATGATTAGTACGTAAGTATTTGAATGTGTCAAAACAAAATGAGTACAATACAGATATCATTTACACATGTGTAGACCTTAAGATGTGGGGGGAAAAATAAGGGTAAAAGTAAAACTATATTCTTTGTGAGTATCTGTGGGTAGATTCAATGCTGCTATCAGTGTGTGAAAATCAACACTCAGAGCTTGAACCTGTGTGTGTGATGCCGAATTTTAACGCTGAATCTGATCAGGCAATTAGAAAGCAATTTTTTCTTTTTTAAAAACCAAGCGTCGAGAATATGTCAAATTGTCCAGGCAAGTTCGCAAATGATTCTGGTAGGCATTTATTATCTATCTTAAAAAAATCGACATCATTTGCAGCCGTTTCGTTCCCACTCAGAGGTCTGACGGTCGGGCAGGTTACAGAAACAGAAAGGAGAGACAGTTGTTTGCTGAATGTTGAGGATGGTGGAAGTCTGTCGTAGCGAGGCCAGAGCGGCAATTTGTCTGATGTGACTTGAACATGACACACACACGAATACACCCTCACCGCTAACACAATTATACAGTGTACATGCAATACCTGCATACGTTCAGGTAGAGCTCACACACCTCCCCACCCATGGGCCCACACATCCACCGAAATCAAGTGCTGTCGTGTTTTGTTGTCTCTATTTACTCGGCTGGGTGTGTTCACAGAGCTCCAGGAGGAGAATGGCAGGAGTTGGGTGGTGGTGGTGGTGAGGGGGGGTGCACATGTTGGAGTTGGCGGGTTGATTCTATTTGCATTTGGCACACTGACTGTACAAAGTATGCAAATAGACAAACAATGACATTTGCTGTGTTATTTTTCCTGCGATATTGCAGTCTCTCGGTAAAGTAAACAAAAAGGCAGCGTGCGCGTCGAAGCGTATGCATTTGCGTGCGCTCAGCTCATACACCTGCCAGGTGCGTCCATCTCTTTAAGTCGCCCTCCCCCCAAACCCCACCCCACGGGCCACGCCCGCGCTCCACAAATCACATGAAAGGTTCGCCCTCGGTGCAAATTGCTCTCTCAAAAGGCAACTTTGATGTCTGAAAATGGAGATGGGTGTCTTTGAAAGAAAGGCCTACAGGTGTATCAGTGCCGGGGGGGGGGGGGGGGGGCGGGGGGCAGTGGCACGTCTGATGATGGGTGCTTTCCTGACCGCTAACGGCTCGCCGCAACTCACAGATGTATTACCTGGAGACATAGTGGCCTACGCACGTGCACACACACACACACACACACACACACACACGGCAATTAATCTGAACAACCAAACTCATGATCAACTAATTTATGGTTTGGGGAAAAAACATTCATCTGCCTCAATTCCACTGACAGACAGATGGGAACAGATAAAGGGGAGATTTTATGTCTTCGGAGAAACGACACTCGGTGGCGTCTGCAGTGTCTGGAGGACGCTGACCGCGACGTTCCTCCTTCCTGGGGTCCAGACGCGTCACACTTGGCCCTCGGTGATTAGAAGCAGAGCAAACATTGGCCAACTGATAAATCCACTGGAATGCGGCGCTGCGT